CACTTGCCCCAAGATTGGAGAAGAGGCCACACCACCAGACCCAGCAGTCTGGTTTGAGGTCATCACCAAGGTCAGTATGGTCTTCACAGTCTGAAGGAATGCATAACAATGGCCAAAGAAGACTGATGACTTCCTCTGTTGTCCCAGGGTAAGAACCACTATCTTCTATCTTCTATCTTCTCTCACACAAACTCTATATCTGCTATTGCACTCACTCCCATCAAGGATCAAGCTTGCTATCATAGTTGCCTGCAAAATCTTCCCTCATTCACTGTCTTCATACACCTCACCTCACCCCACCCCACCCCACCCCACAAACACCATCCCTGAATTAACCCTGAATGCCCACTGTGCCTCTTACTTATTCCAGACATTTACCACCTTTCCCCCATCTGCACCAACATTAACATTGTGATACCCACTTACAACTCACTCAATCGTACATTTTTCTCTCATTCCAGGAAAAGACAGCCCAAAAAGGGAAGAAAGTGCTTGGATCTGTGGTGGAGTGCCTGACATTAGGCTTTCCCACCACCCCCACCCGCCCCTCACCACACCCGCTTCCCCCACAACAAAGATCCCAACCCTCACAGGAGAAGGCCAGAACTGTTCCTGTTGAGATAGGGAGACATCCGTATCCTTCCAACTATGTAAGCATTTACCATTCTTCATTCTAGTGCAGATCTTATATCAACCCTACTGTCAGTATCTCTTCTTGTACACAACATGTAACCCTAGGTGATATGCTTTCTTTTGTGCCTTTGTGTACAGTATCCAGTGTCTCAGTGATCAAAGGGGCTATCCTACAAGAAAGGCCTTCTAGCACCTCTCAGGAGGAAATCTCAGATGCTTTGAAGAAGCATCAGCGAGGCTTACTCCTGTATCCCCTGCAGCTCAATACTGACACTGCAGAGGAAACTTTTTAGCTAGGTTGGAGTCAGGAGCACATCATTGCCATGTCTGTACAGCTGGCAGGGGATGAAACACCCAGGTCACTGGCACATGGAGGATTGCTGGAGGACAAGTAACAGCTCAGCCCCAGGCAGGAGAAGACACCATGGTGTTGGCAATCAGGAACTTTGTGCACATGCACCGGAAGAAACAGAAGCACTGGACAGGTGTGTGGTACCTTCACAGCCGAGAGGCTGCAGGACTACGGTTTTACTATGGGGACAAAGCTGCTTCAAGCATGTGATTGTCTGGCTGCCTCCATGGACAGGTTGACAGCTGCCATGAAGACCAGGTCCAGTACCTGAGGGTCTGCTGGAAAGGCACACGACTTAACTCCATTGTGCTTGTCACTGGTCCTCAACAGCAAGGCAAGGTAATTTGGAGAGGCCATCTTGATCTCAAAAAAGTGCTCTCTCCTCTCAAGGAGACAAGGCAGTGCCAGGAGGCACACAGCCAGAGGAGGAACTACCTACAGGTCCCTCAGAAGTCTCCTCTCAGGACACTCTAGAGGTGCCTTCCACCTCCAAAAACAGAAATCAATGGAGAAATTCAACTGGTCTGGCAGCATCGTGAAGAGAAAACAGAGTCCACTTTGCAAGTCCAGTGACCTTTCTTTAGAACTTGAAGCAACTATTGGTATTTATGTTGATTATGGGATTTGGGGAGGGGTTGGGTCAGGGGAAGGAGTGAGAGGATAGTGGAAACAGAGTCCAGAGAGAGACAGAAATGAAATGGATAGGCAGACAAAGGGACTTCTAATAGTAAGAGGGAAGGAGAGAAGCTAGATAGGTGATAATAGGGACTATGAGTAGTTGTATGGAGGTTATGGGGGTAGGTAAAGGACAAAGAAGGAGGTTTGATGTTCTGAAATTGTTAAACTCAATGTTGAGTCCTGAAGTCTGTAAGGTACGTAAATGGAAGATGAGTTGTTGTTCCTCAACACCTTTCTTCTCTCTCTCTGGGTCCACAACCATACCTGAATGAGTAGGGTAAGTGCCTTGACCTGAGACGGTGGAAAACCCATTGATGGCCCTTCAATGGATGACAATACTGCACACAAACCCATTCTCTGCAGGCCACACACACTCATGGTTGCAGCCATTTTCTGTTCCATTGCAGAGTTGCAATTTCTAGGATGATGGAAGGTGTTAGTGAGCTCTCCTCAGACAGTAATTTCCAGGCTCCATCTTAACATGTTGGCAAGGCTCCAAACACCCAAATTTCTTTTCTGGTAGCCCTTTCTGTGAACCCCATAGGCTTTGCACCTCCTAAGATCTCTACCCGACCAGTCTGTATGAGCCTGCACCTGCTCACCTTACCCCCTTCATTCCCCGGTAACCATGTCAGTGTGATCATATACTGTCCCTACCCCAAATCCAGGGTGATCATTTCTGTGGATCCTCTCCCGAATGATGCTGGAATGGGTGGAATGACTAAATAATGCTTGAATTCTATCTTCAGTCAAGTGTCAAGTAGTCTTTATTTGTCATTGACAAGGAGACAACCTCTACTAGACATGCCAAAAGATTTCTGCATTAATACTGGTATTCTTGGCCTTTTGTACATTTTTAGAGCCATCAGACAGTTTCACCAATCATGAGTGACCACGCAATTTATAGCTCCCAATCATTTCTCAGACATGTACACACATCTGTTATAACCAATCACAAAGCAGGTTGTAGTCTGAACTGTTTGGGAATTACATCATTCTCTTGACCCTTGATTCTGCTGGGTCTGCAATTGCACCTGCATCCTGTTATTTGCATAATGTTTACACATTGTCCTACTTGTGTTGCAATGCCATCAGTATCACTCAATTTTAACATTTCCTCTTTCAATTTCGTTGCCAGCCACGCTTTACTGCATCCTCCTAAAGCATATACATTAACCACCCTTTCACAATTGTCATCCCTTTGGGTCCCTGTCTGCAGCTCCCAATCCTCAAAGATTCCTAAAGCATGGAAACAGAACCTTCGGACCAACTCGTCCAGGCCAATCAGACATCCAATCTGACTTAGTCCCACTTGTCAACATTTGGCCGATATCACTCCAAACCCTTCCTATTCATATACCCTTCCAAATGCCTTTTAAATGTTGTAATTGTACCTGCCTCCACCACTTCATCTGGCAGCTCGTTCCATACACGCACCACCCTCTCTGTGAAAAAGTTGCCCTTCAGGTTCCTCTCAACTTAAACCTATGCCCTCTAGTTCTGGACTCACCCATCCTAGGAAAAAGATCTTGGTTATTCACCCTATGCATGCCCCTCACCATTTCATAAACTTCTATGAGGTTTCTGATGCTCCAGGGAAAAAAGTCCCAACCTATTCAACCTATAGTTCAAACCCTCCAGTCCCAGCAACATCCTTGTAAATCTTTTCTGAACTCTCTCAAGTTTAACAACATCCTTCTTATAGCAGGGAGACCAGAATTGAACGCAATATTCCAAAAGTGATCTCACCAATGTCCTGTATAGCTGCAACATGACATGCCAACTCCTATATTCAATGTTCTGACCAATGAAGGCAAGCATGCCAAATGTCTATTTCACCATTCCATCTACCGATGTCTCCACTTTCAAGGAACAATTCACCTGCACTCCTAGGTCTCTTTGTTCAGCAACACTCCCATGAATTAGTTCCCACAGCTGTAGCCCACTTTATTCCTTTACCCCTTGTCTTTATTGGACAGACCTGATGAACTGATTGTGGCCCACCTCTTTGAGTGACCTAAGTGGACAGCCCTGAGTATGATGTGCCTATATCTCTGACTGATGTATATACTTGTCCCTGATTGTGGTAACTCTAACCCCAGGAGGATGGAGCCACAGAGCTGACTGTGTCCCACTCCTCAGTGGCATGGAAGCCTGGACTGAGAAAACTCTGACTGGACACCTGACTGTGGCCAAGCCCCTAGGCTGAGCTCAGAGGTAGCAACTGGCTTACTGTGCCAGGACCTCTGACTCCATGACTTCACCTTAGACCACCCCCCTTGACTTTGAGACATGGCGTTCCGTTTGAATTTATTTTCCACGCCAAGATGTGGTGCAGTGGTTTGAGATTGATGTTGCGATGTGTCATATAGCAAGGTGCCTGCCCTCTTGACTAAGGACTGCTGACCAGCAAGACAAGCTCTGTGTCCCTGTGTTTATGCTAAGAGGCAAGGCAAGGAAGGGAAACTGTGAGCATGCAGGTAGGCGTCAAGTGAGTGATCGCTAAGAGAGCAATTGAACAGTCCTGAGATGCAGCCTGGTCCAGCGTGTGAGCTAGATGCATGTCGCTGCACACAAAGTGTCCTTGCAGCAACATGACAATGACAGGTGCACAACAGCCCAAAGTGTAACTTTAAAATGCAGAAGCGGAGTGGAGTGGTGCCATGAGTGTTCTGAGAGTGTGGCAGTTGTCAGAAGCCAAAATCCACAAATGTGGGTGCATGCAGCTGATGTCCCGGACCGAGCCCAGAGACTTTATTCCCAGATGTCGAAGATGGCAACCCAGAAGTGGCGATCTGAAGTCTCCAGTTACCTGATCAAACTTTCATGTTGGGAATTGTTGATGTCCAGTTCCCTCATGGTGGGTGGTAAAATAAGAAGTTGCATATTAATAAGGTGTGGAGCTGGAGGAATACAGCAGGCCAGGCAGCATCGGAGGAGCAGGAAAGTTGATGTTTCTGGTTGAGACCCTTCTTCAGGTGAGATTGTTTGTTAATGAGGCTGTTAACAAGCAATAATCCCCCTTAAAGGCATCTCACTGCCCTTTGCATGTTTGTTTCAGATCTCCAGCATTTTTATGTTTTATGTTATTGTCAGGGGCTTTAGCCTTGCTTCTCCACGGGGAATTCAACAATGGCGCCATTGTGATTTTTTTCTCCTTTCTTCCCTGTTCTGTTTTTGGCCCTAGCCCAAGTTTTTCCATTTTTCCTCACTTTTCCTTTTTGCGTGGGAATGGCACCTGATATCTCAATGACCCTTTGGCTTTTATACCCAATTTGAAAACCAACAGATTGCTCACATGAAGTATTGATGGCCGGTCAAAAAATCTTATACTCACCGTTCAGCCAGCACTGTTTGTATCATGATTTTGACTCCTAGAATTACAGGTGGCTTCTGTACTGCTTCAAATTTTGTGAGGCTTTTTCATGGTCTTCACATTTGCGTCACTAACTTCACATCATCTCAGCAAAACCACAGACAATCACCATATTGTGGTTTTGTGTTCAGTCATGCAAAATTATCAGATATGCACTGGGACTAGTAAATAGACACGGGTTCTATTTATTTACTGATTGGATCAAATTATTACATAGGTTTGTTATATACATTCAAATAACTGCTGTTACAGAAAAACACTCTTTCATGTAGTTAGACTGACAAAAGCTGCTAGTCACATGTTACACATCCTAGTTACTTGTTTATTAGCATGTCCTCTCTTAAATGGTATCACAATAGATTGAAACTGCTTCCACTATACTGTCAGGTAGCGCATGTCAGATCCTAAACACATGCTACATAAAAAAGATTTTCCACATTTTCCATTGCTTCTTTTGCCAATTACCTTAAATCTGGGCCCTCTGAATCTTGGTCCTTCCACCAATAGAAAGCGTTTCTCCTTATCCAGACCCTCATGATTTTTAACACCTCTATCAACTGTCCTCTCAACCTTCTCTTATGAACATACGGACAAATGAATTAGGAGCAGAGATTGGTCATTCAGCCCTTTTAGTCCTTTGAGCCTTCTCCACCAATCAATAAGATCATGACTGATTTGCTTACCTTTTAAATTCCACATTCTCATCCACTCCCAATAACCTTCCACCCCTTGCCTAACAGAAATTGACCTACCTATATCTGAAAAATATTTAGTGACCATCTTTGCCATTGTCTGAGGTATGGGGTTCCAAAGTCTCACATCGCACTGAGAGAAAAACATTCTCCTCAGGTTGGTTCTAAAAGAGGAATACCTAATTTTAAAGCACTGCTCAATCGTTCTTAGCTCATTCATTTCTAATTCTGCTCTGAATCTGTTCCAGCTAGAATAAAGTAAATGCTGCACATCACAATGGACTATATCTTCAGTGTAAAAATGGGGCTTCATCTCCACAAGGACAGTGAAGTGGTCAATTTGATCAATATTGCCATCCACAGGATTTGTTTCTCATCTTTGATTGTCCTTGAGAAGGTGGTGGCTGATTACCATCTTGAACTGCAGCAATCTATCTGGTGTAAGTACGCCTGGAGTGATGTGGATGGAAGGTCCAGGGTCATGACCTGGTAACAGTGAAGGTATGATAATATATAGTTCCAAGCCAGAGTGGTATGTGTGGTTTTGAGGGAAGCTTGCAGATGGTAGAGTTTGCATGAATCTGCTGTCCTTGTCCTCCCAGAAGCTTGCAGATTTGGAAGATACTGATGATGGAGCCTTGATATGTTGCTGCAGTTTCAATTTTATAGAAGATATTCACTCATCACTCACAATACGGTCTACTCAACACTGGTATAACTAACAGCAGATAGGAAGGCCACTTCAGAATTCTTCCACCTAGTCTGCAAGCTTATGAATATGTTTTTGCATTTAACTAAAAAAAACACTTCGGTTTTATTCATACCTCTTTGTATCAATCTTGTTCATTTATTCTCATTAAACTCTGACTTCTTGTCCTACTCTGCTTTTATCAAAATTTCTACACTACCCAATTGCCAGTACTTTTCTGTTTAGATTTCTAAATCTCTTTTCACCTGACCCATCTGCCCCTTGTTATACTTTAAAGCCCTATCCACATCTAGTTATACGATTTATCAGGAGATTAATTTGGATCTGGTTTAAGTGAAGCCCATCCAAACTTAACTTGTCCTTTCTCTTTACACAACTGACTCTGCCATGGGTTTTATGCTAACTAACTGCCTTTTGTCGCTTTCTTTGTGGCAGCTTTATGTCTCATAAGAGAACTCTGAGGAAGGGTCACCGGACCCGAAACATTAACTCTGTTTTCTCCTTCACAGATGCTGCCAGACCTGCTGAGCTTTTCCAGCAACTTTGTTTTTGTTCCTGATTTACAGCATCCGCAGTTCTTTTGGTTTTTATTTGGAGTATCTTTTGACTTATGGCTGCCATTTATCCAAAGAACATGTTGAAATACTGCAAATGTTATTGTCTTAAAAATGAGTGTACAGTATGCTGATGGGACCTTTGAGTTAGTGACCTTGTTCTTCCATGAGATTCCAGGAGCATATCTGAGCCAGTGAAGATGTAAACTCTTCAGCCTTTTCTCCTGCCCAGTGTATATTGTTCATACCTCACCGCAGAATAGAAGTTCTCTGAGGATGCAGGCTTGGTAAACTTGCTATTTGTCAGGCAATTTGCTATTATTCCGAGCTCTCTTATCAGGCTTGGACATAAAAGCTCTGTATTGATATCAGTGTCAGGTTGCAGATTGTTGGTGATTATGGAGCCCTCATATGTCAAGCTATTAACAACTTCCAACATGTTGCCAATGCTGATAGGTGGCAGAATAGCAGTATCCCGGACCGTGACATTTGTCTTCTGATGCTGATGGTCAAGTCAAAGTTTTTAGAGGTATGAAAGGGTCTGATCATTTGCTGCTGAAAATGTTCCTTCGTATGAAATGTTATTGTGGCATTACCAGCATTGATGAAATGAGGATTTTGATAAGGGCTTCTGCATGTTTGTCTTGGATGAAGGCAGAACTGCTTTCTGTAAGTTCTGATCTGTAGATAGGCATTTTCTGTACTTGATCTGAAGGCACACAGCAACAGCAAAGAGAAGGATTTGCCAAATAATAATACAACACTACACTGTGCATCTCTGATATTACCAGTCTTCCTGACATTATCCAACATGCAGTTGTAGAAAGAGGAGATCACAATAAGTTGCTTCAGTGGGCAGTCAATTTTATTGCAGCAGTTTAAGCACACCATTTCTACTGTTATAGTTCAATGTCTTGCTGAGATACATGAAAGCAATAAACAGTGCTCTTTTATTCACAGCACTTCTCTTGCACTTGCCAGACCAAAAAGTTTGTATCAGTTACAGATCTTACAAGTCTGAAACTACACTGGGATTCAGGGCAGGCAAACCAAGATCTGCCATCTGACAAGGACAACATGAACAAATACTTGATGCTCAGCAGGAAGTTGCCTCATTAGTTCTTGCAAACATTGCAGTTGCCCTTGCTTTTGTATGTGATCACAATCTTTGCATCATACACATCCTCAGCCAAATGCTTCCTCCCTCCAACAGATTTAGAGAAGTGTGTACAGACACTGCAGAAGGGGCAGATTCCTGTTTCTGATTAATTCAGATAGTCAATTATTAATATGTAGAGCTTTGTTCATTGTAACTGAGTAACAACAGCTTTGTCAAGCTCCTCCACTGTGCATTTAATATTCAGCTCTGTCACAATAGGTAACGCTTCTGTGATATATAGAACTTCCCTGGTTATAGTGTTCTCCCTCAAATACAATTCAAAGCTGTGTTCCCTCCAGTCTCTCAAATTACTTATCGTAGTCAGTAATGATGTCTATTCCTTATCAGTATATTGTAATGACAATTGACACAATTTGCCCTTCATTTCTTGGACAATGAATCCTTACTTCTGGAATAGTTAGCAGCTTTTTCTTGTTCGTTCATGGGATACATAGGAACACAGGAATGTTGGAATTAGGAGAAGGAGCAGGCAATTCAACCCTTCGAGCCTGCTCCGCCATTTAACACGATCATGGCTGATCTTATCCCGGTCTCAACTCCACTTTCCTGCCTGCACCCCATGTGTCCTTTATCGCACTTTTCATCAGAAAGCTATCTATTTCTTTCTTGAATCTGTTGATTGATTCTGCCTACACTGCACTCTGTGGCAGTGAATTCTACAGATTCACAACCCTCAGTGAGAAATAGTTTCTCCCCATCTCAGATCTGAACCTACATCCTCTCAATCTATATCTATGCCCTTTTGTTCAAGACTGTCCCACACGGGAGAGCATCAGTTCTACATCCAATTTATCAATCCCATTTAGCATTTTATATACCTCAATCAGATTCCCCCTCATTCTTCTGAACTCCAGGCTGTACAAGCCTAAGCTATTCAACTGCTCCTTGTACGACAGCTGTTTCATCTCTGGAATCAACCTTGTGAATTCCTCTGAATGGCTTCCTATGCCACCACATTCTTCCTCAAGTAGGGAGACCAAAACTGGACACAGTACTGCAGGTGTGGTCTCACCAACATCTTATATAAATGTAACAACACTTCTTTCTTTTTATAATCCAGTCCTTTCACAATTAATGTGGGCTTCACTAGTTAATTAGCATTTATTGCATATCCCTAATTACCAGAAGTTAGTTAAGAGTCAACCACATTACTGTGGATCTAGAGTCACATGTAGACAAGACCAGATTTCCTTCCCTTAGAGTGTTAGTGAACTAGATGGGTTATTATGACAATCAACAGTAATTGCGTGATTGCCATGAAGCTAGCTTTTCAATTCCAGTACATATTTTTTAAATTCAAGTTTCACCATCTGTCATGTTGGAATTTAAACTCAAGTCCCCAGAACATTAGCTTGGGGTTCTGGACTACTAGTTTCTGTGACATTGGTTACTATGCCGTCACCTCACCTACCCATATGGATGCAAAAGCGTTCAGGAAATCCAATGTTTCTCATTTATCCATATTATGTTTGAGAGTTCCTCATAAGGTCTGCTACTTCTCCCTGTGAGTTCCACATATATTTATACAAGATTTTCCTTTCTGCAATGTTAACTGCTTTGTTTATCCTCTTGAAAGAGATTGTTTGACATTTTGAAAGCTGTTTGTATATGCCACACCCAATGTTGTTGGAGACAAATTGTATAGTGTACTCTGTTTTTGTTGGCTTTTTAATTTTTTTGTTAAGGTATGACTCAATGTTCTCTTTTAATCTCATACATGTGTACACACACAAATAGGTGTGAAGAAAATGTGGAGGGAAAAGCATAGAAATTATAATGGTAAATTGACCTCACTGAATCTGCTAAATTATTCGACAGGGAATTCAGACTGGTGGATAAATATATATAGAATAGAATATCCTTTTATTGTCACATGTACTCCATTGTAGAAGTACAGTGAAATGCTTTTACAATGTCTGCCTCTAAATGCATATCTAACACAATAAAATTTATTCTGAGTATTGGTATTTATGCTCATAAGAATTATCTATTATGAAAACGATGCAGCATTTAAATCAGGACATGATGCATAGTGGCAATGACATAGAGTAGTTAATTCGGTGTAGACCATTGTATCGTTCATTAAAGCAAGACTTCTTTGCTCCTGTACCTGCTCC